AGGCTGGTCTCAAACTCCCGACCTCAGGTGATCCACCCACCGCAGCCTCCCAAAGTGCTGGGATTACAGGAGTGAGCCACTGTGCCCGGCCAAGCGTAGTTTGGAGTGTTAAGTGTGATGATGCATGTTTAATACTTTAAATAGCCTGGTACAAGGTAGGCAAGTACTCAGTAAATCTTAGCCAGCCTTACTTATGTTGTTTGCCACTCCTTCCTCACCATTGTGCTGATGAGGCCCATGGTATTATATCCTCCATTCCCGAGATGAGAAAAATGTGACTCTGAGGCAGCTGTGGTCTCTCCTGGGGTCGCTTGGCTGGTGGGTGACAGGCCAGTGTTTTAAACCAACCCAGGCTCCAGCCTGGGGGCCCTGACCCCACAGCTGTTGAATATTCAGTAGGCCCCTGCTGTTCTATATTCAAAGACCTTTGTTCGTGGTTAATAATGGCTCTTTGTTGCTGCCAGGGGGAGGGTGGCCTCCATGCCAGGCTTAGACCCTTTTCCTTTTCAGGGGCCACACCCGCCCCACCCTCATATTAGCTTTAGTCATATCCTCAGGGTGTGCTGGGCAGGGAGGTAGAAGGGTGGGTGGGGCTCATAGACTGGCACATGGCGATTGGCAGAGTCCCAGGCGCGTGTCCGTGTGTCATCTGCAGTGGGACAGCTGCTCCATTGTGTCTGAACTTGTCCATCTGAGAGAGGCAGAGATTAGTGTCAGAGCCAGACCTTGACTGGTCCTGTCCCTGCCCATTCTCATCTGGTTGGTGCCTTCATGGAGCTCTGTGTGTGCCAGGCACTGCCCTGGGAGCTTCTACCCATGTGATCGCCTTTAATGTTCATAAACAGGCTGTGTAGTGAGTCTTGACCTTCGCCTTGCAGCCTCCGGGGTGACTTTTTTTATGAGATGGAGTTTTGCTCTTGTTGCCCAGGCTGGAGTGCAATGGCACCAACACAGCTCACTGCAATCTCCGCCTCTCAGGTTCAAGTGATTCTCCTGCCTCAGCCTCCCCAGTAACTGGGACTACAGGCATGTGCCACCACACCCAGATAATTTTGTACTTTTTT